TGCTCCGGTGCCGCTGCTCCGTCCGGCGCCGCTGTAGTCAGCCCGAGCATAACGCCACTCGACCTGCTCCGTCCGTACACGCTCTCGTTGCTGTCCTTCCCAGTCCGTTCCTCGCTTTCTCCCTCATTGCACTCAAGGTTCTTGGTCTGAAATAAACAAAAACTCGCGCCGAAGGGGTCAACCAGCCCAGTTCAGCTCGTCGCCACCTGCTCCCTCCTCCTTTGATGGCGAAGCCAGGTTACTGAGGCAATGCAGCGCCCTCTAGCCAACCTAGGGCCGTGTACATAGTTCCCGTCCACCTTCTGACGGTGTCTGCCTCCGCGCACAAAAAATGAGATGGGCATCGCTGCCTACGCCGACGGCCAGAGGCCCGCGCATCTACATTTTTTCGCCTGACCCCATCAGTGCCGACTCAACTACACCACCACGCGCATGCCTCGCGGCGGATATGCGCAGCAGCAAGAAGGTTTCGGTCATCCCTTGAGGGTGAGTCTAGCCCTGCTCGCCAGAAAGACCCCCCCCTTCACTACAACCCACGTCTAAGCAAAAGCTTGTCTAGGAGCGAGGTGTATGTGTGCAAAAAAAGCAAATTCGAAAAATCGACTTTGCCGCAGACGCGGGAAAGGAACAGCTGACGTTTCTCGCAAAAAAAGTTGAGCCAAGCAAGGCAGAACGCCGAGAGAAACCTTCTTCGCGGCCTTCCACAGGCGTGTCCAGCTAGAAATTAATGTACCGAAATGTAAGAGACCGACGGAATGGGACGACAAAAAAAAACGGTTGACACGCGGCAACAAAGTGAAACGTTTATGTACTGTAGTCTAGGTGCAAACCCGCCGAAACAGGTGTTCGCGTAGTCTCCAGTTTAGAGACTGAGGGCAGAATACATGGAACGAACACAAGTGTATTATTCGGGCATATTGTGAGACAGTTTCCCACTTCATATGACCGCGCCCAGGTTAGATCCCACGTTCCAAACCTACTCCATTATGAGGGTGTTTGGGAGATTACATCTGACTGAGTCAGCCCAGGTGTGTGACCAAAGCTACACGGTAAGATGCAGCCCACATAAATCATTTGTTCCGTTTACATGTCGGCAGTTGTGTACGGCAACACATAGAAGTAAGAGGGAAGGGAAAGGTCCGCTGCTCCTAGCGTCGACTTTCACAGGTTTAGTATATTTGAGCGAGCAACAACGCTACCACCAACAAAAACAACAGACAAAAAATTCCACCTGCCTCTATGGTGGTGGAAGTTTGATTGACAGAAACAACATAGTGCATAACGGCAAGACGACTTCCATCTCGCCAGGTAACCGCGCGTTTTATGCCAATCGACGGCAGGGTGCGTGCATGTGTGCCCCGTCCTCCTTCCTCGCCCTTATACCCCCCTCCCTCACTTGAACCGAGTGTTCCATCAAAGTACCAAATCTCCCAACGGCCCAGCCACGACGCTCTCTCTCAACCTCTGGCTTTCCTTTCGCAAGAATCCCTTCATGTATTCTTTCAGGTCGGAAAACCTCTGTTCTCCTCTCCTTCCTCTTCCTCCTGCACCTGGCCTCTCTTGCCTCCCCCACCTCCCCGCCCTCCCTCCCCTTCCCCGAAACGCAACGCCTCCTCTACCGACACCACTACCCCGCCTCCGTCACTTTCATCGCCGTCCGTCGTGAGCACCCCCGCCACGACGTAGTACACGGCTGATTCCGCTTCACCTGGTGCTATGCCTTGTGACGAGGAAGGAGGCGAGAGTCCTTGTGATACCGTTGGGTCTCCCCCTGCTGTCGCCTCACCACCGTTCCGCTCCCGCTGCCCCCGACCTCATTGCCGCCAACAAATGCCCCCCCCCCGCCCTCACATTTCCTACCCTCGGAGAGAGAGCTCCCACCTCCCTGTCCTTCTCCAGAGCAATGTTGCCGCTCCTGCTGTTCTTGCTGACATCGCCACCCGTCCGCCGCCGTCACTGCCGCGGGCCTACCTGTCGCCGTCCCGTCCCTTGCCAGCCCGAGAATCCAGGCACGACCACCCCGCCGCCACCCGGCCGCCACCCTAAGAGGTTAAACATAAGCGACGAGTTGAACAGAACCCGCATAGTTCCAGAGCATGTTGGAGGAGGCCAGGGTAGCAGGTTTGCCGGCCGGGCCTCTAAGCGTTCCTTCTTCTCTAGCGAGTTGCCTGTGCTCGGCCACCACACTGGCTTCACTTGACCGGGATGCCTCGATTAGCTGCTCCAGCCCCGACCCGTCGCTCCTCTCCCCTCCTCATGTTGTTGAAAAGCCTGTCCCCTATTCTTGTAGGGACTGACACGATTGTTCGGGACACTAACTTCGCAGCAACTATTCATTGCTCGTCTACTGGTCATGCGAGTATGTCGTAGCGACTCTGTGTGCTGAAGAAGGAGGAATATCTCCCGTAATGAGCAACGAGCAAGGTGGTGGGTGAGTTCTCGTTTAAACAACGCGCCCAGGCTAACAACACACTGCAGGCGCCACAAGCGTCGGATTCAGCTGCCCCAGACCACCTGATTTATCTGCTCAACTCACACCCCAAGCATGCGGGACGCGTGTGGAGCAGCACTCTTTCGCTGCCTCTACAGTCGGCAGTGTTCGTTGTTGTTTGGGAGCGCACCAAAAACAAACACACAGGGAGGGCGTGTCAACTACCTCATGACATCAATATTGCACTAGCGACAAGAGGAGGCAATCACGAGCCTCAACGTGCGCGTTTACAGAAGCCTAGGGTAGCCAGTCGGCGATACAGTCGAACAACGGGAGGGCTACATAGTCAACGTACATCTGTGCCTGCAAGCGAGCCCTGAGGAAAATAACCTCCTGCCCGGCGCTGGCGCTGCGTCTCTGCTGGGATTGTATCCCGCGGCGACAAAAGGCAATCAGAGGTGCCCACATGCGAAGAAACGACCGAAAGACACCCATCAGGAATGTACGGACTGTTTACGATATCGTGTTGTTTGGGATCATCGTGTCGTTGTGTGATTGCGCCGTGAAGGGAAAACCTCCCTAGCAGGCCTGAGACGCGCAGAATCCCTTGTCGTGTGACGAGAGGCGAAACCGATACATACACATGTTGTTTTCGTCCTATTTCATGGAAGCATGCGAAGTGTCAATTAACGCAGCGAGCCGCCACGTCAGCATGTACAACTGCTGTAGTTCGTAATCTACAGAATGTTGTTCTTGTTACTGCAGGAAACCTGTGAACGGGCGATGGACACTCTCGACGACGTGCATGTGTCTTTACTACTAGCATCAACCGCGCTAACCGGCTGATCAGTGTGATATGTCAAGCAGGTGATACATCTAAGAACTTGAGTACCATGTGTGAGCTCGGTTAAGAAACAACTATACTACAACTATCTAAATACTCTATAGCGGCTGTACTCTAGCTACTAACAACCCCAGCCTCCGCAAGAAGGCTAGACGTTCCTAGGTGCGGGGGCTGCCTCCAGTAGTAAATATAGAGGTACTTCGTAGTTTTGCACTAAGTGTTGACTTACTTGTGGACCCTTCGGGTCCATTTTTTCTATTGAAGCACGTTTTTCGTTCTTTATTGCGCAAGGTATGTAGCCTGTGGCCACGGGAATCGACCGCGTCCAGTGTTAGACTAGCACGGGCAGATGAATATGGAGGAGCACAAGCCGTACATGGTAGCTTGGTCCTCGGGAAAGGAGAACGTAAATAAACGTCGCTTGACGCTTTTGCTCCACGATCGTGTAGGATGGGAAAGAAAGGTGCCTGTTATTATTGCTGAAAGGTCTGAGACGAAGTTTTTGCGGGAACACGTCTCAAGTTAATCATCGAAGCCAAGCACCGCAGGTGGAAAGATAAAAAAAAAACGGTGAATGCTCAGTGCGTATGGCTTTTGTCTTGTGTAACCCTGGCGAGTGCGCATAAACATGCACCCAAGGGTGTAGTACACTGGCGCCCCGAACAGTTAGATGAGGTGACACAAGAACTTGGTAATTTGGGGGGTACTCGGACACACATCAGTGATCTTCGGGTACTCCGGAGGCTACGTGGATGTGGTGGACCTTACGAGCGAGGTGCTTCTTGCCCCATCCATGTCTGGTCTGTCACCTCATAACCGCGTGAGAGTTTCTTTGCGTCACCTGTGGATTGCATTGATTGTTGTTCATATCCAACCCTGAAAGGCGCGCGCGTGGGGCCCCAAGCCCGATCGTCGGTTCTCTTGATCCATTTCCAGGACACGTAATTTAATGTGATTGGAGCAGGAAGGTAGCCTACCGCTGATTCATTCTCTAGATTCTACATGTACAGCTCTCTGTACAGCGCTGGTCGCAATGTAGTCCAGTGTTGGCAACCTCGGGACCCTTTGACTTTCTACATTGCGGGTTCTTCTCTCTCTGTGGTGAAAATTCCCAACCATGTGGTGGAAACAAAGCAGTCATGAACAAACCCCCACAGCGGGGAGGAACTGCTGAACCCTTACAAATGGAGCTTCCTGGGTCGAGGCTCAGTTCTTCCCTGTCGCCACCATCAAGCAGTGGTCAATGGGCTGTCACGAATGGATGTTGTGGCGAGAAACCCATGAGCTGCTGTGTTTCTTGTATGTGTACAATCCCATCCATAGCTGTACGAAAATCACATCCTAGTTGTCTCGAAATGGTTCTTGGAACCGATCACGATTCCCAACGGTCAGCGAGTCGTATCCCGACCTCCTTTCTAAGCTCTTCTCCTGAACAACACGAGAGAAAATGGGCGGGGCACGTAATCTTCTAGCAGCTGACAGCAGGACGCAGAACCTGGCCGCCCCAAGCTATGGTGGCTGTCTCAATTTCCCCCTTGACAACGCTCCCTTCACAACCTCGCCCTTCTGTTGCTCCCGTAGCCGATTCATCTCCTGCCAATAGCGCTCGACTAAAAGCATGGGAAGAGGACATCAGGGGAGGGGAGGGAAGGGAACGGGGGCTGGGGGTCACTTGCTACCTGCAACCGCTACAATGCACGTAATCTGACCAATTTCAAGCTCTTCTCCCAGATATCATGTTCTGAGTAGACCACCCGACAACGCCCCTTACTGAAAACGACAAAACAAGCAGCGGCGAACAAGCATCTGACGTCGGGACTGTTCAGAACAAGCAGCACAAAACTCACGACAGATAGAGTCGGACAGGTGAGTTGACACTCCCGGCCGCGCGAGCAGATTCCAGGTCATTTCTGTCACGAGCGATGGGGCACTACGAGATGCAAAAAAAGAAAAACTGCATACGACAAAGGTCGGCGAACAAGGGTGGATGAACATACATTCTTGCTCGACGCTGCACACGATTGAGTCGCGTCTAGCTCGTTCGTTCTCCCGCCTGCCTTTCGTTGTGCCCACTTCACCGCGGTCAATGTTTGGCGTTGACGACAACGATCCCGCCCGTTCCCCAAACATGGTGCCATCACAGCTCGTAGTTAAGGTAGAAGCACCACCCCCACAGTCATTGCTGCAAGGAGAATAATGCGGAGGCGCCACTGTTTCCGGGGCTGTCGGACCTCCACCAACACCATCATTGCCAACGACAGTGTGCGGACGGAAATTGTTTCGGTGGGGCCAGACCAGGCCTTCCATTGCAGTCTCTATCCCTTCCACTACGGATGCGGCGTCTTGCGTCGGCAGCATTGACGGTGTCGCAACACCCTTGGCACAATTCAAGGGGAAACGACACCGGGCCTGTTCTTGATCTTGATATTCTCTCTTGCACCTTCCCCCGGCCACGGAAACCTTTTCCGCTCCCCCCTTTCCATGCACGGGGTGGACACCAACCGTTGGTTGATGCTGTTCGCGTCCCGCGGTCATGACGGCAACAGCAAAATCATCATTAGCAACACCACAGCTGGCGTCGGGGCGAGGGGAACAACGGTCATGACGTTCAGTATTCACGGTCGGCCCCGACGGCGGCTCAGCGGCAACAAACCGGTGAACGACAAGAAACTCGGGCAACACGAACGCCTCGTTCAGTATTCGATACTCCTCCTCTCGGGGGAAGAAAATCGAGTCAAACTCCGCTTGCCCCGGCGGAGGGGTTGGAAGAGAGAACTCATCAGCAGGATGCCCAGCAGAGCGAGGAGACGATGCCCGCTGCCGCTTTTGCAGGGCGATCGAGTCCGTTCTATGTCGCGGGGACAAAGACTTTGGGTCATGGGGCTGGGTGCCGCCATTACCCTTGCGTTGGCCCCACGTGACAGGGCTAGTAGTTGCCGCCACGTGCGTGCTTCCGATCATCACGCGACAGAGGGCAAGGAAGCGAAGCCCGGAAACAGCACCCCTCTGCTGCCCGTCTTCGCGCGACCCATCGCCAGGAACGCGGTGCCGTCTTTGCCGCTGTAGCGGGTGACAGCCCGAAGACGGCGGAGACCAGGACCGGTGTTGTTGTCGCATCCCACGGTCTTCGTCGTCGCACCCACAGCTGCTCCTGTTGGCATACTGACGTTCTTCTTCGAGCGTGCTGTGGCGGGAGAAGGCTCTCGGAAACTCCAAAGGCCGTTTACCATTGTTCCCGCCGGAGGTTTCTCTTCGGCCAGACGCTCCGACCGTCGGAGCGCCAAGAAAGGAATCAATCGGATCTCGATCCCAGTCATTCGTAGGCAAAAGACCCGCCTTGCCGTCTGTCAATGCAGCACCAGAGCTGTAGCCGTCACACTCATCCATCAGCGCGCCAGCGCCGCCCATTCCATACAAGACGACGTGCTCCAGACTTGCATCGGGAACGTGACAGAAAAGTCCTTTGACCTTGCACGGTTCCCTCGCTTCGGCGGCGCGTTGGAACCTTTCCAACAAGAACCTGTTCTCCATCTGAGAGTAGCGGTGGGGCGCACACGAGTTTGGCAGGGCATTTGGCGTTTTTCTCACCATGTGGTGCATTTCCACGTGCAGACAAGACGCAAAGCACACGCCTGCAGAGGGTGCAGGCAATGCAACATTGGATGGAGACGTTTCACTGACGGGGGCCAACACTGGAGGCTGTTGGCGAGCGAGGCAAGGTTTCGAGCCGCTTCCCTGCTTAGAACGTCAACCCAAAACAAAGAAGCAACCATAGAGTCATAAACGAGAGCGAGGACAGAGAAGCACAATGCCTATTCGGGCCGGCTATTGAGGGTGATGGCACTTCATTCTCACTGCAGCAATCACATCCGTGCTACAATGGGTGAACAGCCCAGCTGTCCGCACTTACATACACGCACTCATTGACCACCTTTGTACCTTATAGATGTCTAGCACGCGCACTGCTCCGTAGCGTGACTCGCTCGAAAAGAAACCCGGCCTCACGTTCTCCGTCGCCGCGCGCAGACACCGCTCGTGCTGCGGGTGGGTAGGCGGCAGACGCCTGAGAACGACGCACCCTACTCCAGATCGGCGACAACGGGGATTTAGAAAAGGGGTCTTTCGGGACTGTTTGACAACAAATAACACGGTGCACACAATATCGATATGATGAAAAAACGAATTTAAGAACAACTGAGCACTTTGCACCTCGCGTTCGATGCTCCGCAGTCGTGGCCAGCGAGGCGAGTCTTGCGGATAGCTCGAGCCGTTCCACCTCCCTCCTGCAATGCTCGTCTTCGGCGGCCATCTGAGCGTCTTCTGCTCCCATTTCTGCACTGGCTGCGGCTGCAAAGCTGTATTCACGCGGACGGCAGAGGTGGGCGGTGGCCGTCGAGAGCTGAATCCCAGCGTGTGAAGGCAGGCCGCAAGCAGCAATGGCGAAGAACACCGTGGTTGATCATCTTCATGGACCACAAGCAACTTGTTAACAATATCAGACCTATAGGTATCTTAAATGCCTGTTAATCAAATTCAAGTAGGCGATGCCACATGCAGTATGAGAATGTCGTGGCACGAAGCAATACTGGCTTCAGTATACGTGATATAGGCCATTGACGAACGCTTCAAATGTAACTGGACAAGAAAGTGTCTTGAACAATCCACGGATGGATGCGGTAGATTCTGTAAAGGGTCGTAGAATGTTGATGCTTCCTGGAACGGGCACAGGTTTCCTATAACTGTTCGCAGGAATGCTCATGAGAAAACTCCAAGATATGGTTAGAACAGTTCAAGGACGGTTTCCGGAACAGCGTGTCTGGCCTTCTAGAAGGCATCCGTTTTCCAAAGAACGGCACGAAAGTATTACAAGGCTTATTCAGAGTTTCGTCGGTGACGAAAATACTGCTGACCAGGCAGAGCTCACCCCCTACTGGCACTCTGTTTCTTACCCGGCTCAACAACCCAACAACAGCAATGTACGCATACAACATGATTTTCTCACGTACTACACATGAACCAAATTCCGCTTGGTTGTAGACTCACGCCTACACCCAGTGTACGTCCGCACATCTGTCACAAGGTCTGGTACGCACGTTTGTTTGATGTTTGCTCATACATTATTGTATTACTGCTGCTGTACGTAGCTCGTCACCACCTGAATATGACTGCAGACTACGCAGTGATGGCATCTCCAGCCTATGCTACATACCTCCAGTGAGAACCTCTTTGCAGCAGATCTATCTATTTGCTGAAGAGCACACACCAACCAATTGCGCAGAGGCACGCCCATCAGGGAAAAGCGGTACTTGATTACGCGACAGTCTGAGCGAGACCCCAAGAAGCCACGATGTTTAGCACGACCTACAGTGATCCCCACCTGAGCACAAGGCGGCCCAGACGACAGTCTAGCTGCGCGCGACTCTCTGCGCACCCTTCTCTATACCCTCCCACCGCGGCCTGGGCCGCGGCTAGCCGTGCTGTCGCAAGGGAACGCGCGATCGTCTTCGAGGTCTCGAGGTAGTCGACCCTTCGTCGTCTGACAGAACGCCGCTGTATCCGCACGCCCGACACGAGCCCGCACAGGCCACCGGCGGCGGGGTCGACAGCTCCGCCAGGTTCCGCCGCGTTGGACTCGGGATGGCAGAGCAAGAGATCGCGCAGCTCTCCAGACAGTCCGGCAAGGAGTCCAGAAGAAGGATGGCCAGAGCCCATGCTATTAGGGGCCGCCGGTGCACTACTATCAGTGCAAGAGGCAGCGGCAAGTGTTCCCGACGCACCGCTGCCACTGCAGCTCGTCGCTCTGTTTGTCGCAAGTGCGGATCTTGCTGTTGACACCCCAACTGGATCGGCGCTGCGGCAGAACAACGTGTTCTGCGCCGAGCGTAAGAAAATTTCCCCACTGACCATGAAAGGCCCCCCCCTGGCGTTGTTGTTGGCGTGGGAGCCACTCTGTTGCCCTGGTGGTTCAACTCGATCGCTGCTGACTTGCTTAACCGCCACATGCATATCATCCGCAGCCATTTTGTCCGCAGGCTTATTATCCCTGCAAGAAGATGTGAAGATCGGCCGCTTTCGAGCTGCTGATTTGTTCGATGGGATACACTTCGCGAGTCACCAACCTATGCAGAAACCACCAAGCCTCCGCTAGGATCGTGCCCCATGCGCGTCAAGGCATCTCGCTGGTTGCTGATACGAAGCAGAGTATCCGCAGGACGAGGCAGGTGTGAACATCAGGGCAACAGGACGAGGCAGGTGACATTGGACATTTGTCTCGGGGGCGACGGAGAATCAAGATGACCAAGAAAGTACCACCCGCGGAGCCCCTCGGTTGCACGCAGCGTCTTCTGACTGGTGGTTCCGGTTTCAGCACTCTGGCACGACAGTACTCGACGCTCTGGTGGAGGACGGAGACAAAACTTGGCGAAAAGCTTTAAAACATCACATAATACACGCGTGAGTCGTTTTTAATGGCAATTGTTTCCTTGGATGGGGGTAGTCTCCAGTCTTTGGCCTTAGGCGTCTGCGGCCTGGTTTACGCACCGTTGTCCTGCCGCTGTGGGAGGCGAACTTTGACGACGTGTGGCAACGCGTAGAGTGGACCAAACCAACCAGCGCTTTGAGAGTCAAGCATTTGATAAGCATGGAGCTGAAATATCGATTGTAGAATTTTGGATCGTATCTGTGAAAGCCGATGTAGACTGTAGACCTTCGCGCAACGATGCCTCGAAACGCGGCGGAACCTCGCCCGGTGGTGAGTCGATGCTGCCGCCAGTGCAACAAACCAACGAAGTGCAAACTGGTGTTCACCACACTAACTCCGGCCCCGCTCCATTGTACCCGGTAAGTCTCGTTGGGCATGCTCTGCACTCAGTCGATGTGCCCTTGATTTGCAAGTCTGCATGAGAGCACGCTTGGGTATGTGAGCAATTGTGTGAGTCTACTGCACAATCCGGGGCTGCACAACTCACGAGCCGACCAGGGCGTGGGTGCTTGGCTGTGGAGACGCTAGCAGGGCTAGCATAGCTTTCGCGCCCTCGCCGTGGCACGCCAATGGTCGCCGACGCGTACTTTCCCGGCTAAAGGTGTAGGCGTGTATAGCAGTACTCCTGTAGTTGCGCGACTGTAGGTATTTCCTACTGTAGATCGGGCGGGGTAATGAGCGGCGGTAGCCAACTCAACCTTGCAGTAGTCTATCTGCAATGCTTTTGCGCGGTCGTGGGCGGCAGTCGATCATAAAAAAAAACAAGGAAGGGCTCCTGGAACGAACGGCCGTTGCGGAGTGTGCGTACAGCAATACGTAGGTGAGACGATACACCACACCCCGTGGACCAATTTCAAAGCTCGGTTCCTCCACACCACAAAGAGTGGCGATGCCGATAATGTTGATGTGGGAGCCTTCTCTTTTACAGCTGTTCATACAACGTCTTGCTGGGTATACGCATCCTCTTCGATGTGAAGTACTCGAGCTTTCATGCCCGGTACAGAGGGTGTGGTATCTTACGTCACCTACGGCAGATGTGTGCATACGTTACCCCGCTGATTTCGGTTTTCGGGGGATTCTCTGCTCAGAGTAACGCAGCTGCAAAGCTATTCCCCGCGAGCTGTGTGTATGCATCGCCTTGTGTGGCGGCTATTAGAGGACACCGGGCCATAGGACCTACGGAAGCTGTGGTGGCGAGAGTCGGCATGATGCATGCATGCGAGAAAACAAAAACACGCCGCCCCACAAAAGGCCTTTTGTCTCGTGATCCCTCCCCATACATCGAAGTAGCCGCAATGACCATGGCATCCGCCACGAGCTGTGTGTATCGCTCCCTTCCCCCGCCAGTGCTGTTGTGCCCCTCCCGGTGGTTGCGTGTTTAGCTGAATACTTCCTCTATTCCAACTGCATGGCTACGTGTGTGTGAATGTGGGAGATCTACGGTGCCTTGGCTTGCATTTCCTGTAACTCCGCGGGGATCGGGGTGAGGATCTCCTATGGTTTTTGGGTAGAAATGCCGGTGAAGCACGACCATCTGCTGTCGGAGCACGACCAAACCGGTGTGGCGAAGAACGCCCTATTTTTATTGTTCGTCACAAGCGAGCAGATCGTCAAGCGGTGCTATTTTTATAGTCGAAAAGGATGGAATATTCAGGCAGTCGTTTATTGAAACTCAGGCCCCTGGTAGATAGAGCCGTATTCCCTCTTCGGACGGAGGGAAAAGAACGGGGGTGCTTCGCGCTACCTGAAGCAAGATGTCTAATGAACGTTCCATCGCCATCGACCGAGAGTCCGGCGGAGGCAAATAGTAGAGTCGGGCAGAGCGCTTAGCAGTTCCTGCCTTTCCAGCAATATCTTTCTCTTCTGTCCCTTTAGCTTGGTCTCGCGAGTTGTGTAAGAGACTACTTGTTCTGCGTGTTGTGGGTGGGTGCGGGGTTGCTTCAAGGTGTAGTTCGATCGGCGCGCGACTGCGTCTGCTTGCTTGCGCAGAGCCCGTCACGCTCTAAACATTTACGCCGGGTATGCGTGGAACGCCGCAATATGCGGAGGAGGCCTTTGCATTGCCGTACCGCTGAGAACTACATGCGCCTCTACGCTCTTGTGGAAGACAAGGACTACTATTTACTAGAATAGGGAGGGGTAATGAGCCGCGGCGACTCAAACCCTAACAGTACAATAGTCTATCTGAGATGCTTTGGTGCGAGACACGCTTTTCCAGGCAGCCAGCTCCCCGCTCGAGTGTTAATATGCTGCAACCGGCGGAGAACACGCATACACACGCTCGCCCTGTTACAGCAGTACCGCCAAACGATCGGGCAACTAACAGCACTGCCGCCGGCATCAATCAACGGTAGTCGTAGCAGACGCGAATGCACTAGGTAGTCGATAGATTCCATTGGGCTGCGAGGTGTGGAAGGTGATAGGAGCACAGCCGTTCAAACAGGGCCAGCTCTGTTCATTATGGAGTAGTTGTGCGAAACTTCACGCGAGAAATCTCTTGTAGAGGTTGCGATTAGGCCTACCGATCAAGTTACATTGATTTTACATTGATGGCCAGCATACGTTCTGTAAGAACCTCAAACACTCAACTGCTTATCAATCTGGACAACATCACCGTTGAAGCGAGATACACGTTAAACCTCCTCCCTCCCCCGATGCATTTCGCAGGTGCGCTAGGAATGCAAGGGGTGAACATGAAGCTTTTCGCGTTCGTGATCGGGGCACTTTTCGTGTCCCGGGCTTGCGCCCAAGCGGCGGCGATGAGGGGCCACATCGTGTCCTGCTCCGGATGAAAACTAAACAAGCTCCCCGAGGCCAAGAAATTCCTCAAGAATCCCGAGCACGCCGCAAGCTACGAGGATATCGAAGTGAGTTCCGCCGATGGACCCAATGGGAATCCCGCCAAGGCACTGGTGTCGTGTACGCCGCGCAAGGTCGTGCGATCCCCAACGCACCCGACCTGCCATTTCCTTCTCCGTGATACCCTGCGCCACGAGGATGTCCCCACGACAACAATAGTTACCGTTTCCCTTGTGGCCGGCGTATTCATCCCTCGCTCGTTGTCTTGGTTGCTCTCTTTCGCTTGCTTTCCAATCCCAGGTTGAATTCAAGGCCGGCAAGCCGCCGGTGTTGACCCTTTTCGACAAGGCCTCCGGGGAGGAGACGGAGAGCATCAACCTCGAGAAGTTTACCATCGATGAGGTGATATAGGGACAGGTCGTGTGCGACGAATGAAAGGCGAGGGCCATGAAAGCACTTTCGTAAGTTTGCCATCGATGACGTGATGTGATGAGGATGTTGCGTGCGACGAGCGAAAGGCGGGGGCCATGAAATTGGGTATCTTCGCCACTCGCGATGACTTCGTCCCATGCGGAGGATGTTTTTGTTTCCCGCCCTACGTCCAAACAGGAACGGGTTGCTTTCTCCTCAGCCTTAATGCTTAGCTGTTCTGTTCTACGTGGACTCCTTGGCGAACTGTACTGGCCTGGTATCCGTCACGTCGACGTCTCCGTTCGGACACCGGTTGTGTGTCGGACGTCCTCCCTTAACCCTCTCGTGAATTTGTGGAACCCGATCTTGTCCCATTCGGCTCGCATTGAACAGAGAGAGTATCGTGTTCAAGAGCCTCGCCAATTTCCCCCTTGCGCACACAGAAGAGAGCAGCCTTGTGACCCCCTCCTCCTTCCCGTTGTCACGTTTCCGCTTGCTTCTCGTGGTGTGGGATGTGACATATTCTCTCTTGCGCCGAACGAACCATCCGATCAGATGCACGAGCTTCTCGTGTCTCGGGGATTCGTCCGCCGTGCGGATGCCGCGGACCTCGCCGAGGTGAAGGCGAAGGAAGCCATCGCTGACGAAGCCGCCGCGAAGCAGAAGAAGGAACGGGCCGAGGCCGCTGCCAAGCGTAGGCTAGAGAGGGAGAACGACAGACCGGACAGGGGGGCCGCGAAGGTTGGTGCTGAGGCGCGATGCGTCTGTCTTGGTCGCACCGTGTACATGAAGTTCGATAACCCCGAAACGTGAACTTGGGGGCACCCGCAAGAAAGCTGCCTCCCCATCCCCCTCCGGTTCACTTTCACCCAGCCCAGCCCGCAGCACATTCGAAGTCACAGGCATCCCGCCCAATTACGCCGCCGCCACGCGCGGTGGACTCGAGGAATCCACAGCGTGGTACCAATCCACTCCCTCGCCGTGCTATTAGTATCTGTTTAACCAAAGTGGGTTTTCGCAACCCGCAGCGGGACCGCGTTCGGCAAGCCGCACGTGCAGTCCTCACCTGGTTACCTCCGGACCTGGGGGAAGACACCGACTTCTCCCACGTGTGGTCTGTTTTGGCCTCCAACCGACAAGAATGGTATCTCCAAATTTGTCACGACCACGGTAGCTACCTTCACGCACAGCGGCAGCCGCATTCCAAAACAGAGCACAGACCAAGATTGACTGCGACGCGAGCCTGGCGCCCAAAGCGAGGGCGTCGTCCAGGTAGTTCCGGTACCCACCTCGGCGACGCCGTGAAGCTGATCTTGCCAGCGAGCTTCACAGCGTCGTCGAGGTGGTACCGTAACTGTCTGGAGGACGTCCTCCCTCTGGGCGCCAGGCTCATGTCGCCGACTCTGTCGATGTGGGCCCTTGTGTTGGTATGCGGCTGCCGCTGCGGGGATGAGGGCAGACAGGGCGTTAGCTACCGTGACGGTGACTACGTTGGAGGTGCCATTCTGTCGGTTGGAGTCCACGAAAGACCACACGTGGGAGACGTCGATATCTTCCCCCAGGTCGGGAGGCAAAGCGGTGAGGACGGCACGTGCGGCTTGCCGAACGCGTTCCCGGTGGGGTATGCTAAACCCACTTTGGTACGTATTGGCTAGCACGGCGAGGGAGGTAGTGGCACGACGCTGTGGACTCCTCGATTCCACCCACTGCGCATGCCCTGCCGGAGGTTTAGACACTATGCTTTCGCGTATATTGGTCTTGTTCGTTCTTCTGACAGGCTCATCAAGCGGAAGATCGCGCCGCTATGGGCGAGAAGCGCAAGTTCGACGCCGTGAAGCGGAAGGCCAGGGAAAGCGAGGCCGACGGGAGCGGAGAGCTGTAGAAGGGGCGGCTGTCCCCTCCTCTTCTATGTCAGCATTGAGCGAGAGCTTCATGTTTTCGTTGACTTAGCGGACCACAAGCTGTTTTCTCTCGGGGGATGTTTGGCTTCCGTCAGAGCATCATATGCAATGGCGTTACCGCCGGCCACTCTCACCAAGAGAATGTTGTTGTTGCTGTGGACCAATAGCACCGCGTGCTTGTAGATCGAGTCCTTGTAGCTCTCTCCCTCCGCAAGAAACCTTTGAACCAACGACAGTCACTTGAGGATCTTTCTTTGAGCGTAATGACGGATGCACCTGTATAAACCCTTGACTACGGGGATCAGGGCATCTTGAAGTGTCTCGAAGGACTTTCCGGCGGCGTTATAGGGAATTAAGGGTCCGTCGAGGGTTATAGGTTCATCTTACAGGTTTCGATTATGTACTAAGTATTAAAGTTATTTCACAATTTCCCTCGATTGTGTCGTCGTGAAGGGCTGCGCCTTTTGGCAGTCGAGTGTGCTGTGTGCCAATCGCTGGCGAAGTATTGGTGTTTGTTTGGATCATCGCGGGCGCCTTCGCGGGTGTGTGTCCGTGTTTGCCCTTTTTTTCCGAAGGGGTAGCCTCATGATGTGCGCCCGTTCATGTGGCAGATATTCAGGTGGAGGAGGCGTCTTTTTGTCCCCTGGCATGCACAACCTAATTCCGATATGCGTCACAGTGGTGGGTAAGCTTGTGTCGCACTCAACGTGGCGTGGATGTCGGGACTCTGATTGTGTGGCGGTACGGCACGGGTGTACTGCTGTAGGTGCAGGTGCAGGTGTACCTGCACCTTGGTAATGCAAAAGCAACAGCTCCTTGTTGCGTATGCACTTGTCGCGGGTTGCCGTGCCTGGCGAGCGAAACCCTTGCGTCATGAAACAACAGCAGTGATACTTTTACCTTTGTTCCCCCTGCAACACGCCTGTGCCTGGCAAGCAAAGCGCGCCATGTCGATATATTGCGCGGGCTAAACGTCCCCACTTGCCAGCCCTCGCACCACTACTGGACGGTACGTTTTTAGTTCAAGCAAGCATCGAATTCCCTCAGATGCACCACGAAGGAGGCCGGTTTCAACCCTGCTGTGTACAGAATAGCGCTATTTGGTATCCTTACCTTGAAAGAGTAAAAAATGGCCCCGCAATAGCTGCTACGCGTGGCTTGCTCCGTCCGAATCAAACTCTCCAAAGCACGCACAGAGCGGCCGCCAACGCAAGTCTCTTCGCTAACTACGTTGTTCGAACCCTACGTAAAGGTGGCCTACTTCAGAAACCAGGGTCGCATGCTCACGCCACCTCAATCCTCATCGCCAACATGAGCGCCTTTCCCATGTGAATCAACTCCGGTAGCCTTCAGTAGAAAGGGCAACTTGCTTTTTGTGATTGAAACATCAAGGCCCGGAGCTCACAAGACGCCATCCGTCTCCCATAACTTCTTGTTGTCTCTGTGCTACATACACTGTAGGAGTATACGCAACGGGTGTCAAACACCAGTATCCCTGTACAATATCAGTCAACGGGTGGGCCTGCTTCTCCTTCTCGTACCCGGGGGCGACGAGTTCTGTCCCCTGCGCGGTGGCGAACGAATGAAGTCGTCCCTGCTACCGGCGGTGCCGCTAGCACTATAACGGGCAGCGTGTCGGGGATTCCGAGAGCGCGGGGGGGTCCTTTCGCGCACCTCGTGACCTACGAACTCCAAAAACTCGCGGTAAGAGATGTTGTTGTCTTCCTCGGTATCCTATGAAGATAGGGCACGGGCACCGACACGTGGAGAGGACAGACATGACTGAGGTCATATTTGTCAGGGGTTCGAGGATCGATTGCAACATGGTGTGCCATTTTCTTCAACGGTCCATGTTTGCGCTGAAAAAAGGCCTCGAACTTGCTATCGAGGGTCGAGCGAGAAAAAAGTGGGCGGCGCTTCACCACACTCGGATGGCCGCAAATCTCACCAACATTCCGGTTAGATGACAGCTCGAGAATACACTTGTTTACCAATCGCACAACGTTCGCACCAAATACTCCAGCAAGGCTTCGCATTCGGCCTCGGTGAGATTAAGACCCAGCCCATCCAACAGGCATCGCCTGAATGCCAGAGAGGGCAGCGTTCCCAGGCCTGAATGGTCGGCCGCTTCAAACACTTGGCGAAATGGTGGTGGGCCGTCTTCCTCCTCGGTCAACCGGCCGATTTCCTAGCATGGAAAAGCAACGAGTGTATTCTCACGATTCGGAAGCAGTCCGGAAGCACGCGACGTGCGACGTGTACGGGTGAGGCCATCAACATGAACGATGAGAGTGCGCACCTGAGTCCATGCGCTTCACGTTGTCGCTTTCGAGGGGCGGGTTGCACGCCTGAATTGCAACTGCACCGAATAAAACGTGTCGTTGTAGCGGTAGTCTACTCCTTTCCTTGTTGATACATAGACTAGAATACATGGTAACCAAACCATCATTAATAGTGCTTTAGTCTGGGCGGCGATGTGTAGCCCGACTCTTTGACGCACATCTGCTTTGACGCACATCTGCAACAACATACTTCACAACGAACGCGACCTCGTGTGTGATGTATGAACTCACTTCCTTCAGCCTGTCGACGAGACGCTCGATGTTGCTTGCGCTGGAACGGCGGCGGCGGCGTCTCTCAGATTTTCCTACCTTTCGCCTTTCACGTGCACTACCGTTTCTACCGCCACCTCCGCGGGGAGGACGGTGTCCTTCCATTGCCTTGACAAAGTCTTTGTAGCAGACGTACCCGTACTTCCGGCCCTGTCCATACAAGTTCGCGGAAGACAATTGACTAATCCTGGATACAGCCAGACAGTGGCAAGTGAGACAGGCGAGACAGCCAAAGCGTTTCCTCAAACATGTTGAAACTTTGCGACAATCCAGAATACTTCCAGCCCTGGTTGGCCATGCAGTTGACAAGGACGGAATCATTGTTGAACTGCACCGTAAAACCTCGTTCACTCGCGCACAGCGTCGAGGATGAAGCATAGTTCACTTGCCGGCATGACGCATTCGACGTCAGTACCAACAATCCTGGATTCTTTCTTTGGAGTGTACTTCTAAGTATGTAGTCAAGGCTTGGATGATTGATAACTATGTGCCAGCAAGGAGCGAATATTTGGTCGACCTTGCATGTGTCGACTCCACCATCTTTGTAGGGACGACTCACAACTTCTTCGCTGGCACTTATTGAATGCCACGGCCATTTCACAAGGCGCACTTGCCTGGAAGGACTCCACGACGCGTGAGACGTCCCAACGGGACAGGTCCTGTCCGAGCCCGAGACTCTGCAATCCTTCCCAAAAATCATCTTTGGAGACCTCTCCCTGCCCAAAACGTATCGTCGAGAATCGAGTCGCTGGCACCGCAACTGGAAGAGTGCGGAGAACGATGGATGATTCTACGCTCCTCCTCTTCTACTAGCAGGGGTGTCGTACAAAGCTAGCGGTACGGGATCGGATATAGGACCAAGCACACCATAGAGTCCGCATTTGGATAAGCGACGGCGTAGCGTACACAGATCGGTTGGTGATGTTGCCCAGGGCCCAGGGCATATTTGCGCAGGGCTTGAGAATTACCCATTATCTCGACCGGAACAGGTCATTGTGTTTCTGTCGGCGGGCGTTCTACAACAGAATTCTGCAACACAAACCTGACCTGTCCACGACGATCAAAGTGCTCGAATGACTCCAGCAAGTCAACACCCCTCTCGCGCTCCGCGGCGTGGACAAGACTTCGAAGGCCATCCAGGACTGCTGTTGCTGTTGACGCCGAATCCGTGCTCGAATCGTCGCTATCGGACTTTCCAGTCCAGGTATTTTGAAGCGGCAAAACAATGTTAGATGGACATAGGTATCACGGAGAATGGTCGTACGAAAGAGGGGGATGTGAGACATCCGTTAGGAGGGAAGTGTAAAGGGTAAAAGACATGTTGTTCCTGGGGACCATATGGGATACTTGGATGATGGAATCATGAGGACATGAGGCGTCGAGCAGGCGAATGCGAACGCGTGTTACATAGTATGATGTTACTTGGGCCAATTGGAGCGAAACCCAAGGGGGGCATTCAGAGGTTGGGAACTCGGATGTATACGCCCATTACAATCCACGGCCTGGAGCATTGCGTGAAGAAGAACGACGACGGTTCCATTCAAACAATTTTTTGGAAACAATGACCTCCTCGTCGGAGTTGCTTCTTGCGACCGCCGCTCCACGGGTGAGTGCGTCCCGAACGTCCGACAGATGCACCCTTCCGCGACGGTCAAGGTCGAGGGAGTCGCAGAGAACAACGATTTCCTCCTCCCTCAGCTTGGATGCACCTCCATGCAGCTCGAGCGACCTACGCAATTCCCGGCGGCTGATCTCCTGAAAGGCAGAGTAGTAGTGAAGTGAAAGAAACGCAAAGCATAGGAGCTAGTGTGGGAAACCTTTCGAGGGTAGCGCTTCATCTGAAGCGGGAATGGGCCAAGAATCCAGATTGTCTCCTCCAGATTTCCGCAAAGAGGTGCAGAAAAGAGAAGGAGACCGGTGAGGTGGCTGAAGGTGTCGCGGTGCTCCGAATGACCGGCTTACAGTAGAAATTCTTGCGAACCAGGATGCTCGGGGAACTGTGACGTCGGGTGTCAAAGGTTCTTGTTGTATCATGCGCGGCATGAACACTCTGACGTGAAATTTCCACGGAATTGTCGCATGAAAAGGTTTCACACACTCGGGCCTCGCCCATCGATAGGAGAATATAGTGCGTCCCAAGGATGATTCGTCGTCAGCCTTGGAATCCCCTCGGATGTGTGACAAGCGAACATAAACTCCGTGCTGACCTAGAGCTCGTTAGATGTCCGCATCTCTCGTGAACGTTCCTTTGGCCTATGAAATAACTTGCGATATCCCTTGCTTGCAGCGTGTTGCCTGTGCCCAATTCACAAGTATATATGCAGGCGTTTCGGACCAACTTCACAACGTCACGGCGGCAATGAGACAAAACTCCACGAGGAGGTGCTCGCGCGGAGCTAGGCCAACCGAACTCACTATTCACGACGAAAGAGCAGTATTGTTGGTAGCCAACGTGTAACACACCTCACGGCCGTCAACGAATCGACCGAGGTCGGAGATGAATCGGCGAATGAATCCATCCCTGGCTGACGATGTTCCGCGCTGCGTGCGTGCCATTTCCTCCACGACACGCTCCCAAACGTCATTTTCAACCTCTCGTGCCATGTACTCGACGAAGTCCTGTACATGGTCCATTTGTGGGAAACACAGGTGTTCGCGGTTTGGTACTGCTGGCGCCACGAACGCCACGTTTACGTCCGGATGACCTGCTCTTGAACACCCGACGTTAGCGACTGCATTTCTACAAGGCAATTAGTGCATCTGTTCGCGTATTTTCCTTTCTCTTTGTCCGCCTCTCTCTCTCTCTCTCTCTCTCTCTCTCTCTCTCTCTCTCTCTCTCTATCTATCTATCTATCTCTCTCTCTCTCTCTCTCT